TGTGTTCCCTCTCTCACTGTGTCTCTCTCTGTCAAATAAATAAATACAATCTTTAAATAAATAAGTAAAAGATTTATTATTTATTTATTTGAGAGAGACTGAGTGAGAGAGAACACAAGCCAGGGGAGAGGCAGAGGGACAGGGACAAGCAGAGCCCCCGCTGAGCAGGGAGCCTGATGTGGGGCTCGATCCTAGGGCCTGGGATCATGACCTGAGCCAAAGGCAGATGCCTGACTGACTGAGCCACCAAGTGCCTCTAAATAAATCTTTAAAAAAAATTAAAAATAGGCAAAGAACTTCAATAGACTGTTCTCCAAGGAAAATATACAAATGGCCAACAAGCAATTGAAAAGATGCTTAACATCACTGATTGTAAGAGAAATGCAAATCAAATCAACGAGATATCACCTCACACCCACTAGGATGGCTACTATCAAAACAAGGAAATGAGTGCTGGGGAGGACCCGGAGAAATTGGAACCATGTTGATAGCAATGTAAAATGGTGCAGCTGCTATGAAAAGTGGCATATAGGTTCAACACACTAAACATAAGAGTTGCCACTGACTCAGCAATCCCACTTCTAGGTATATATCCAAAAGAATTCAAAGCAGGATATCAATGAGATATTTGCACACCATGTTCACTGCAGCATTATTTACAGTAGCTGAGAGGTGCAAACAACCCAAATTCCACCGACAGATGAATGGATAAAGAAAATGTGGTTCATCCAGACAATGGAATAGTTTCAGTGTAGCAAGATGAAGTAGTTCTAGAGATCTGTAACACAACAATGTGAATGTACATACTACTTAACACTACTAAACTATACACTTAAAAATAATTAAGATGGTAAACTTAATGTTATGTGGGGTATTTTTTACAGTAAAAAAATTTGAGCTATTATTGCCTTTTAGGCTTTCCTTTCCCTATGAATATACACTTTCCCCCCAAACTGGACCACATTGTACGTACAATTTTATAACACACTTTTGCCCAATGACTACAGAATAAAAGCTTTTCCAAGTTATTCCCTATTCTTTTTGGTCATTTAGAAAGGTTGTCTAGTATTCCAATATATGAATCTACCACAATTAAAGGATTTCCTGTTGCCGGACACTAGATTGAATTATTTTATCCCTATGAATAATATTGTGTAGCTAACTCATGCTAGGCCTTTTAAATAGTGTTAATACCAGCTGTTTTCTCTCTCCTCTTCTAGTCAGCTCTCAGCTATTACACTCCTTCCCTTCTAATCTCTGACGAGATAACCAAGCTAGCTAAATCAGTTTACTTGTAATAAAACCTTGTTTGCAGTTCTGTCATTTGCTCCCATTCTAGGTAAACAGCTGTTGCAGCAGATGCTAAGGGAGGTGGTTTTTGCTTATTTGGGGGTAGACTTTCCAGTTAGACCTGCTCTCCCAGAATTGGTTCTTGCCTCACTGAATAAATCCAGATGGTGGCACACACTCTTGTGGTTGCTTTTTCCCCCTTCCACTCAGTCGACCTGGCCACCACCTCACTGGTACCTGTTTCTGATTTTCTGAAGCCCTGCTGCCCCTTAGCTAGGTCTAGGAGTTCAGGCCTTCTTGGACTCCTGATACCGGTATGCATGCATACTGCTGGTTTCTACTTTGTGAACTCCTTTGCTTTAGTTTCTCACACTTTAAGGTAACCCATAGCACTTACTTGTGCTTTTTGACAACAGCACTATTTGACCACCTTGGATCTAAGTTCACCACATTGTGTGTGTGTGTGCGTGTACGCGCACACACACACACACACAAGCACATAAAATAGGCTTCAACAATTACAACAAAACTCCCAAATCACATATTACTAAGTAGCCTAAATGCAGCTAGATAGGCTCCTGTTTCCCAAACTTGCTTATAGAATCTCATGAAACACTTGGTAAAAAACACATCCCCAGGCCTAGCCTAGTGGATATATTATTCTGGATATGTAATTTAACAAATACCCCATGAAATGCTCATAATCAGGCAAATTTAGAAACCCTACATCCTTAATTTGCATCCTCAGAGCCTCCGGGACACTGGGAAGTTCAACTGGGGCCCGCAGGAGACTGGTAAGCCTGGTAGCATAGGGTTTATTCCATCATGTAGGAAAATCCTAGGAGTGAACTGTAAGTTGGAATAAACATTGGAAAGTCTTTAGAGCTTGAGACCAAAGCAGGAACTTAGGATCTTTTTACTCTTTCTACACCAAGGATGGTTTCAAACATACACCCCTGGGCTACAGATTCCATCCCAAATTTGGGGTTTCCATAAGTGTTAGCTGGGAGTCATACAGTTCTTTGAAAGAAGTAACATAGAATCTGGATCTTCTGAGGACTGAATTCTTTGCATAAACACTAAAATCATTTGGGGTGCATATCTTTTATTAGGGAAGATTCTATTTTCACATTAAAAAGTCAGCTCAATCCCAGATCTATGTCAGGTAACTGTTCTGTAGTGTGAGCTATGTCATTATAGAGGCTTGAGAGGGGAGAACAGAACTCTGACACATAAGCCTCAACTCATGACAAGTCTTTGGCTTCTTGGATCAACTATATATAAGATATACAAGATATTACTCTTTCTATCTGAGGGCCCAGGGAAATCGAAACATGTCTGAGAATTCTAATAGAAGCTCACCAGAGCTGGTGAATCCTGACCCCACCACATACACTATTTATTCATGTGAGACCACAATTTCCATTCCTCTTAAAATCTGCCAACTTGATGGGATAATATGAGGAATAAATAGAATTATACAAAAGTTAGGCCCTGATAAAAATCAGTCTAAAATTGTTGAAAACTCAAATGGTGGTCCATGAGAGAGTCAAAATTGGAGGGTAACAAAATTTTGAGGGGAAAATGCCTTTTGTAGGTCTGAAAAATAAAAAGAAGTTTAAAAACTGTTATCTCTAACAGAGTTTTCTTTAACATGAAGGATAGTCATGCTACTGATGTTTATTTGGTAAGTAAGCTAAATACTTAAGCATTTTTTCCCCTAATGGCTTTAGAAATGATCTCCTTCCTAAAAAAAAAAAAAAAAAAAAAAAAAGTTTAAAGGTAAACCTTTAAAGGGTAAGACAGTAAAGTTATATAGATGGAAATGCACTTTATTCAGTGCACACTGACAGTTTTTTTCACTTCCATTCATAATTAAAGTAAAAAAAAACCTGTTGCGAGTATTTTTTATGCTTTACTTAGAAAAAAATATTGAATTTCAAGACCCCTAAAGTTATTAATGAAAGCTTATATTCCTTATTAGTATATATATACATATATACATACATATGTATATATTTGAACTACTCAAAGCAATTTTATACAAACCACTCAAAACAATTTTAAGAGCTGTTCTTTTCTGTATTTAAAATTGTCCTTTCAAATATTTAGAAGTTCCGCAGGTGGTGGCTTTAAAGGAATTTTTCCCAGAGTAAATTTCTTGGACTGAAATTGTTCTAGTTCTTCTGCTGTTAATTGATCCCTGGGTGTGAATAATTCATTATCTGTTGTGGTGCTGCCATTTGAGACTGGGAGAGAGGTGGATATGCTACTATTTCCAAAGGTGTCACTAGATGACTTGGAAAAAGCAGTGTGAGAATGTGAGCCTAGACTACCAAAACCAGCCACAGAAGTGCCACTTCCAAAGGCTGGGGCCCCTGGAGCTCCAAAAGAGCCTGCTGCCATGGAAGCTGGAAATCCTGAAAATCCAGGTGATCCAAAACCAGAAGCTGCAGGACTTTTAAAAGAAAATGAAGCAGCAGATGTGACTGCAGGTTTCCCAAATCCAAACGTTGGAACAGAAGTAGTGATGGCAGAACTGGCAGAGGATGCAGCTCCAAATGCTGGAGTATTCCCGAACACAGGAGGACTTCCAGAAGGGGCAGAGGCAAATCCAGAGCTTGGTTTAAAACTAAAATTCTGAGCATTAGCACTGCTGCTGTTATTCACTGGAAAACCTACAAAAACCAGAAAAAGGAAAAAATAACCTATTATAGTCAGAAAATGTAGCCATATTAACCACCCCTCCCTTTTTTTCTTATTTCTGCCACATTTGAATGTTGAGAAGCTTATTGGGTGGAAGGAAAAGTGAAAATAAGAAGCTAGAACAAACCCGCTAAACCCTGTTGTCCTTTCTGCTGTACTGATCTCATTTATCATCCTCACTCATGGAGACAGCTTTGAGAAACCTCTGGGATTAGGGGGTGGACTTTCACTTTCTGCCTCAACTCCAAATAAATCAGCTACATCCATTATCAAAGAAGTAACTCTTTCCTTAGCTATATTCGTTTAAGCAAATGTAGAGTGGACACTTCATTTCAGTTTCCTCCTGTATAAATGGAGTGATTCTCAAGCCCCTTCCAGCTCTCAACTAAGATGAATCTGATGAAATCCTACTCTAATAATTGACATCTCTAGTTTTTGGCTAAAATTTTTCCTGAGTTGCCATTTTTATTTTTATACTTTTTATGACCATTCAAACTCCTCAGTCCTAATTTGCCTTTTTGTCTCTGAGAACCACTGGGTTACCTCGTATCCTAACTTAAAACAATTTTTCTTTTAAACTAAAAAAAAACAACAACAAAGTGACGCAGTGTTGTCACTTGAGAATACTATACTATTATACACAGTCAGAATAAGGTCCTCAAGGTGCTGCTACCATAGCTATTATGTATTCCTATAAAACTTTTGAAAACCCATTCCTAAAATATACTTTGAAAGCCTGAGCCATAGGGTCTTTCAAAAAAACGTGCCCAGTCTGACCCCTATTTTACAAATGACTGATGAGCCAAATTCTTTGAAGCTCCGTTATAGAAGGTAGGAGAATCTGCAAGGATGATTTAAAAATCACTTAAAGGGAGGGAGGAAGATGGTGGAGGAGTAGGAGATCATAGTTTTCTCTGGTCCCTGGAATTCAGCTAGATAGCTATAAAATCATTCTGAACACCTGTGAACTCAACTGGAGATCTAAGAAAAAAATTGCTGCAATTCTACAAATAGAAAAGTGACCACTTTCTGCAAGGTAGGAGATGCAGAGAGGTGAATCCGAGGTGATGTATCCAAAGATAAACCGCGGGGGGGGGGGGCGGAGGGAGCCTCTGCAAGCCAGCTACCAGAAAGTAATACAGCAGTGGAGCGCAAAGTGGGAACTTGCAGAAGTCTGCTCAGGTGAGGGACATCCCTGCCTGAAAGGCGCTCAGGTGGTGAAGCAGGGCAGAATCCTAGGTGGGACAGTGTGATCTCAGGATCCCAGAGGGCAAAGGAAGACCAGGGGGGGCCTGTGTGTGGCAGAGTTCCCAAGCATCAGAGCCAGGAAGCTGGCTGCAAACAGCGAGCTCAGGAGTGGGCTTTCTGCTTAGTGTTCCCATAAAATGCGAACTGTGGCGTGGTCGGGCAACCATTCTCTGAGCAGGGGCCCAGCAAGTGGGAGAACTGTTGCGAGACCCTCCTTTTTCCCCCAGGGAGGAGGGGTGCAGGTGTGAGCTGCAGGAGTCTGCAGGGTTTGGAGACTTGAAACAGAGTTGCGTGCCTGAGATACAAACACTTGGTCACAGGCTGGGTGAGCACAGAGTGCTGACAGAGACCAGGGAGACAGCTTTTCCCTGAGGGTGC